TTGAGAAGGGTTAGAGAAGTGGAAGCACTGCTCTCAGAAGAGGAGCCCTGGTGGCACAGTGGGTGGTGCATTGGTCTGATAACTGCAAGATCAACAGTTTGAATCCACCAGCTGCTCCGTGGGAAGAAGATGAGGATTTCTACTTCCCTAAACACAGCCACTGTGAGTGGGGACTGACTGGATGGCAGTGAGTTTGCAAGCATTCAGAAGGGTGAGGGTTAGGTGGAGAAACAATAGCTGCACATATAAAGGGTTCTATGATTTTGTAACAAGTTTTTGACTTGCACATATTCAACTCGCCACCATTGTAATAGTGTCATCACAAGTCTGTTGACCCTGGAAACTACTGTACATCAGGGAGAGAAAAGGCACGGAAAAGGCACATAGCATCTTAGTCATGTTAGGAGCTGCCTTGTTGGGTTTTCCTGCTGGAATCTTAGGGAAGCAAAGAAAATCATTATGATATTAGCAGATATCCCTGACCTCCTACCCCTAGGAGTCCTGGAGTCACACTTTGGGAAATGCTGTCTGTTATGAGTCTTTGTCATTCCTTCTCGGTGCTTTCTGGCGCCGCCTGGGCCCCAGCAAAAGCTGGAAATCCACAGCCATCTGCAAAGAACTCAAACTAAACCCACTGCAAGAACGCCGATTCCGACTGATAACTACCCTAAAGAACATCCTAACACTGTCCCCCACACAGGCTTTCCAATGTGGCAGGAGTGCGACACAGGCGGGCTCTTTTCCATGGCCACTTAAGAACAACCAGGCCAGGAACCAAGCAAACAAGATTTGTTAAGATAAGTACCTTGCAAGAGGAGGTGGTGGGGTCCTAAGACGCCATCCAGAGACAACGGAAAAGGAGAGGATTATAAGACAGGTTAGGCATGCTTATTCATTAACAGAGGTGGAGGATTGCAGGAATTGGAATTATGTGGGTGAGGTAATGGTAACTGGGTGTATGCAACAAGTGTTCAAAAGTGGAGGCTGGATGAAGGCTGGGTAGGCTATCATCATTTATTATGGGATGGTGTGCATGTGCCGGACAGCTACTTCCACAAATTCTAGTCCTCTGCCCAAATGTTCTTCACTTTTCAGTCCAACTCTAGGTTTCAGCTATCGGATCTGCTCCTGCTGTGACTTGTTGATGCCAATCAAAGAGGTGAACACTGCACAGCCAAGGGCATGGAACTAAAATACGTTAATCGTGGGGTGGGGGTTAAAGGTGACACATGCTATTGTAGAATGCCACCAGTTTTCAAATGTTAACTGATTGTGGGGCATGCTTTAGCCCATACGTGTTGGCCTGGGGGGAAATTCTCCGAAGCCATCTGAATATGACAAACGGGAGTGGATGAATCCAGCCCCTTTCTTTCTTTCTTTTTTTTAATGTATAAGAAAGAGCTTTATATCAAAGAGTGATTGTATATTAAGAAAACATCCCAGCCCTGTCCAGATCAAGTCCCTAAGTGTGATATTAGCCCATAAGTCCAATACTAGTCCATAAACCACTCTTCAGATTCAAGCAGTCATGCAAAATGCAGAAAGATCACAGGCCGGTGGATGCAAAGTTGTGTCTCCTGGGCTCTGGCTGCCATCAGCGTGGCTCCATGTGGCTTGTCAACAGGAAGGATGGAAGTCAGAGAGAGAGTGGAAGTTCCCAGAATCCTCATGAGAAGGCCACCCCAACAAGGCATCATTGGGCTGTGACCTGACTGACAGGCTAGACTCCACCCCTTCACTTTTTTTTTATTATTAATTTATTTTTTAATTAAATAATCATTTTATTAGGGGCTCCTACAACTCATCACAATCCGTACATACGTCTTTTGTGTCCAGCACATTCGCACATATATTGACTTCATTCTCACAACACCTGCTTTCCACTTGAGCCCTTGGTGTCAGCTCATTTTACCCCCTTTCTCCCCCCTCCCCTTGATAATTTATAAATTATTATTTTATCATATCTTACCCCATCCAACATCTCCCTCACCCACTTGTCTGCTGTCCGTCCCCCAGGGAGGAGTCCATATGTAGACCTTGTCATCTGTTCCCCCTTTCTCCCTCACCTTCCCTCCACCCTCCGGCTATTGACCACTCTCTCCACTGGTCTTGGGGGGTTCATCTGTCCTGGGTTCACTGTATTTCCAGTTCCTATCTGTGCCAGGGTACATCCTCCGGTCCAGCTGGATATGTAAGGTGGAATTGGGATCATGGTAGTGGGGGGGAGGAAGCATTTAAGAACTAGAGGAAAACTGTATATTTCATCGTTGTTACTCTGCACTCTGATTGGTTCATCTCCTCATCGCAGCCCTTCTGCAAGGGGATGTCCAATTTCCCCCGATGGACCCTGGGTCCCCACTCTGCACTCCCCCTCATTCACAATGTTATGTGTTTTTTTTTTGTTTTGGTCTTTGATGCCTGATGCCTGACCCCTTCGCCTCCTTGTCATCTTACAGGCTGGTGTGCTTCTTCCTTGTGGGTTTTGTTATTTTTTAAGCTAGATGGCCGCCTGTTTGTCTTCAAGTCTTTAAGACTCCACATGCTGTATCATTTGATAGCCGGGTGCCATCTGCTTTCTTCACCACTTCTGCTAATGCACCCCCTTTGTCCTCAGCGATCGAGTAGGGGCAGGCTGGTGTGCTTGTTCCGTGTGGGTTTTGTTGTCTCTCAGCTAGATGGCTGCTTGTTTATCTTCAGGTCTTTAATCCAGCCCCCTTTTTATTCTGTATCACCTTTCTTGAAGCAGAGAGGCTGGTGGGTTCAAACTGCAGACTTCTCCGTTCTGCTCGGGGTTGAGACACGGCTCCACCCCTAGAAGCGACCGAGTTCAGAACATTCCTCTGCACAGGCTCAAGGAGGAGGACCAGCTGACTCCACCTCCGCGGGCGGAAACCCGAGAACCCGGGGCTGCGCGCGCAGCTGGCGTTTCCGCCTTCCCGGCGTGCCTCGCGTTCCCGTGGCGCCAACTCTGGGAGTACGTGCGCGTTCGCCGGGCTGCTTGGTCTGTGCCCTCGGTCCCCTCGGGCAGTCCCGGGCTAACCCCCGCCCCCGCCCGCCGACCGGGCCGGAAGTCGGCGGCGGAAGCAGCGTTCCGGCCGGGCCCCCGCCTCCGCCCCCGCCCCCGCCCGTCGCTCCGCCGCGGCCTCACTCCCCGCCGGGACCCTCGGACGCTGCGTCCCCGGCGCGGCCCCTCCGGCCTGCTCTCCCCGCTTCGGCCGCACTGTAAACCGAGGTGGGCCTCGGGCGCCACGTCCTGGGCGTTCAGAAACGTTTGCAAGCATGTCCCGGATCGAAAAGATGAGCATTATGGGCGTGCGAAGTTTTGGAATAGAGGATAAAGATAAGCAAATTATCACATTCTTCAGCCCCCTCACAATTTTGGTTGGACCCAATGGGGCAGGGAAGACGGTAAGTCCTGAGTAGCCGCCTTAAGTTCATGGGAGCGTCGCCATATCATAAGTATCAATGTCTGAAGGGGGAGTCGAGAACGCTGATGGGAGAGACTGGAGGAGTGCGACGCCCTGCTGACCACGGCGACGCGTGCCGTCGGCCTGACCTAGCATGTAACGGTGTGCTGTCTGCCTGTGGACCAGGCTTACTGGAGGATCCCACTAGACCGGGAAGAGCTCACAGCCTGAAGCGCACCTGCGTTTGTCTGCATTAGCTCTCTCCTTGCTCGATAGTACCCACTTCCTGAAAGTTGTCTCAAACAGGAATCCCTTTAAACGCTGTAAGATAAATATATGGCGCTCTAAGAAGGATTTCTAAGTCTACCACCCACTCTCAAAGGATATTAATGGGAAGCAAATGGCTTCATTTGCAACAGACATTCCTATAGTCCGGGTTAGTTTAATTGGCACACTGGTTAAAGATGCTCACACCCAGTCAGTGACCATATGAGCACAGTTTAATGACTGATTTTCGAAAGCCCCAGGACTGACTAGAAATTTGGTTGGTCTCTGGAATGAGGTGAAAGGTATGGCCGAAAGGCATTCTGGTCTAGGAGAATGATTTGAGGACAGCAGAGGGATACCTGGGTAGCACTGGGGAGAACCCAAACAAGGAGTGTTTGAAAAGCATGTAGAACTAAGTTAACGTTTAATGTTGACACTCGAATGCCACACTGTTGCCTCCTCGTATTCACAAAGAAACCCACAAATGCAGGGCCATTAGATCGATTCCAACTCACAAATGCACATTATGCACCTTGCATGATATGACTGTACTGAAGGAAAAGCAAAACTCAAACTCAGTGCCGTCAAGTTGCTGCCAATTTGTAGAGGCAATTGACTCCAACAGCACAAATTTGACGGTGCAGAACCTCAACACGAATTTTAAACTAACAGCACAGTGTGATTCTAATTGTTCTCCATGTAAGCAGTTCACCTGTTCAGTAAATTGTTTAAAAAAAAAGTGATCCCTTGAGAGTCTGTCATACAGGTCCTCGAGTTCAGTGCAGTACTGTAAACCTTGAGTCACACCTGAGGGCCCATACATAGTAGGACTAGTGATCCTGGTAGGGCGCCCAAGAAGAAGAGAGAAAAGGTAGGACATTGCAAGAAACAATTGAATTGCTAGATAAGAACGATCAATTGAGGTTTGAGGCTGAGGTTGCCTACCATTTCAAAATGGATGAGTCCAGCGTAAGGACCATTTGTAAAATAAATGTAAACAAACATTGTAAAACAAAAGGAAATTGATGAAGACTGCTGCAGCAATGCCAGTGGGCCCGAACACATTGCATGGTTTTGTGAAATAATCGCGTGTTGAAGATGCTGCTCTTGTGTGGGTACATTGTATAGGAGATATACCACCTATAAAATATGTGTTAGTCAACTGTTTATGTTATCAGTAAGGCTTCCAGTCAATAGTAGGCTCTTAGTAGTAGCCCCTGATCCCTCAAATTGTTCAAGAGTTGACAATTCATGTTTATGAGAAATGACTGAATATGCCTTGCTTCATCATTTATTTGCTGATTGTGGCCAAGTAAGCAATTTCTCTACACCTTTTTTCTTAGTGATAAATATGCGGATGAAAGTACTATCTATAGTCTAGGGATAATGTGAGAAATAGTGGATGTATATAAAAAAGTATGTATGTATGTTTGTAAGGGCCAGGTTTTACATTAGGGTAAGTGACGTGTATGTTAACCATTGTTACTAGATTTGTTTTATGGGTTCTAATTGGAAATAAAACTCAAAATTCACTGCCATCCAATCGATTCTGATTCACAGGAACCCTATTTAGGGTTCTTGAGGATGTAAATCTTGATGGGAGCCAACAGCTTCATCTTTCTCCTGTGGAGTAACTGATAAAGTATTGACACTTCCCTTATAGCCTCATTAGAAATAGAGATCCCCCCCCCCCCAAACAATAACTTTTAGAATACCTTCATCTATTAATTCAAGGAATTATTCTTTAAACACTTAAGTTATATCGTTATTGCAAGTCTTATACCATCAAATTTTATTTGATCTTTTATAATTTTCCTGGTTAACAATATTTTTATAATGAGTTACGGTAATATTTGTGAAAAACTTAACTTCTCATGATGAAGTAATACAATTTTCTCTTTCTTTAGACCATCATTGAATGTCTAAAATACATTTGTACTGGAGATTTCCCTCCTGGAACCAAAGGAAATACATTTGTTCATGATCCAAAGGTATGGAACTAGGAAAACTTTTGCAAAATGGTTTTTTTTTTTATTGTAGAAGTTATAATAGCACATGGTAGAAAACCTGGCATTGGAAAAAATACAGAGAGGTATAAAAAATCATATAAAAGTATGTGGGGGCTTCAAAAAGTCCATGGAAAAATTCCATGGTCTTTTCATTTAATTTTTCTACATACTTTTTGAACCCCACTTGTAATATTCTTAACATCTTGTGTGAGCCATTGTTGATATACATCCTCGTTTATCTTTTCTTCTATGTACTGCTTTACATAGCTGAGGTGCATGCTGTCTAATATTGTTGCCTGTCTTTTTCCCCTTCTGAACATTGGAAATCCTATGTCATTTGTTTAAAAAACCAAACTATAGTACATTCTTAATCTGGATGTTTGATAGGCAGATATTTCTTGTAGTCTTGTGCAGACTGTGTGGCAGCTACACCAGTAAGCTCACAAGCAGTATGCTTTTTGCAAAATGTCTTGTCTTGAAAATATAGCTTTACTGTGGCAGTTTACAATATGTACAACATACAAAATATATTTTAATTGATTTACAAGACAAAAAGATTAGTGATTACTTAGGGCTTAGGGGACGTGGATGGACCCCTTAGGTATGAAGGTACTCGAAATGTGACTGAAGAGGAGTTACCTTCTCCTAAAGTAGAATCAGTTGTAGTGACATAAATGCAGGAAAGCCTTTGGGAGTAAAGCCTTCAAGACCTTCATTTGCTGATGGGGCACAACACAAAATGAGAAGAAACAGCTGCAAAAATGTATTAGTAGTAGGAACCTGGAATATAAGAAGTGTGAATCTGTAAATTTGGAAGTTGTCAAAAAAGAAGTGGGATGCATAAAGATCAATATTCTAGCCGTTAATGTACTGAAATGGACTGGAATTGGTCATTTTGAGTTAGAAAATGATATGGTTTACTATGCCAGGAATGATACCATCAAGAGGAGTGGTATTCATTATCAAACAGGACATTCGAAGATCTTTCTTAAAGTTCAGTGCTGTCTACAATAGGATTATATCTGTCTCAGTACAAGGAAGTTCAATCAATAAGTGTATGCACCAACCACAAAAGCTAGTGTTAGTCTGCGTAGACAAGAGAAACAAATTCATAGACACTCCTATATGTGTAATAGAGAACTTTATATCAAAGAGTAATTGTATATTAATGAAACATCCCAGCCCAGGCCAGATCAAGTCCATACTTCTTATATTAAGCCCATATGTCCAATACCAATCTATAAATTCCTCTTCAGACACATGAAACACATACAATAATGCCGAATGTAGGAAGATCACAGGGCAGTGGGTAGAAAGTTTTGTGGATTCATTGGCTACCGTCAGCATAGCTCCATATGTCTTGTCAGCAAGAAGACGAAGAGAGTGTCTCCAGTTTCCAGGGAAGAAAACAGGAATTCCCAGAATCCTCTGTAGAAAGCCATGCCCACACAGAGGCCTCATGGGTTATGACCTGATTGACAGGCTAGACTCGACCCCTTCACAAGTTGACAGATTATATAGCTGCCACAGCTAGTAATGAAAACAATGAAGAATTTTACCAATGTCTTCAGTCTGAAATCAAACATGCAGTCAAGATGCATTGATGATTATTGGTAATTGGAATGTACAGATTGGAAACAAGAAGGAACACTAGTTGGAAAATATGATCTTGATGATAGAAACAAAGCTGGATAGAATTTTGTAAGACCAACAAATGATTCATTCAAAGCAAATATCTTTTTTCAACTACACAAATAACAACTGTACACTTGGACTTCTCCAGATAGAATACATAGAAATCAGATTGACTACATCTATAGGAAGAAACAATAAAGAAGCTCAATATCAGCAGCTAAAACCAGGCCACGGGGTTGACTGTGGAGCAGACCATCAATTGCTCCTATGTAAGTTCTTCTTGAAGTTAAAGAAAATTCAAACGTGTCCACGTGAGCCAAAATACATCCTTGAGTCTATTCCACCTGAATTTAGAGACCATCAAAAACAGATTTGCTGCTTTGAACACTAATGACAGAAGGAAGACCTGATGAGCCATGGAAAGATATCAAGAGTATCATTCATGAAGAAAGCAAAAGGTTATGAAAAAGAGGAAAGAATCAAAGTGGATGTCAAAAAAGACTCTGAAACTGGCTCTTAATTATAAAATAACTAAGGCAAATGGACGAAATAATGGAGTCAGAGAGCTGAACAGAAAATTTCAATGATCAGCTCAAGAAGACAGCAAAATATAGTGAAATGTACAAAGACCTAGAGTTAGAAACCCAGAAGGGAAGAACAAGCACAGTGTATTTTAAAATGAAAGAACTCAAGAAAAAATTCAAGCCTCAAGTTGCTATATTGCCACTATGGGCAAAATATTGAATGATGCAAGAGACATCCAAAGAAGATGGTGGGGGGCGAGCTCAGTCACTGCACCAAAAAAGAACGAGTTGACAGTCCACCATTTCAGAAGGTGCATATGAACAAGGACCAGTGGTGCCGAAGGAAGAAATTCAAGCTGCCTTGAAAGCACTAGCCAAAAACAGGACTGGAAGCACTTGCTGATGAAGATCAAGGATTGTAGGCTTCAGTGTTGATTACACCTCAGTGTAAAGCAAACCAAATCCTTCTAACTGGAACAATAGGTAACAGCTTGACAAATGAAGAAAAGATTGAAGTTGTCAAGGATTTGTCTTATTTGGATTCGCATTTAATGCTCATAGGAGCAGCTATCAAGATCAAGTGACATACTGCATTGAGTAAATGTGGTGTACAAGACTTCTGTAGGGTATTAAAAAGCAGGGAGGTTACTTAGAAGACTAAGGGGTGCCTGACTCAGCTGTGGTATTTTCTGTGGCCTCATATGCATGTGAAATTTGGACATAAGTAAGGAAGACCAAAGAAGAATTGATGCATTTGAACTCTAGTGCTGGAGAATACTGAAAGTACCATGGACTGCTAAAAGAACAAAAAATCTCTCTTAGAGGAAATTTGGCTGGAGTGCTTCCTAGAGGCAAGGATGGCACAACTTCCTCTTACATACTTTGAACTTGTTAGCCCAGTGTCTGGAGAAGGACATGATGCTTGGTAAAGTAGAGGGGCAGTGAAAAAGAGGAAGGCCCTCAATAAGACGGATTGACACTGGCTTCAGCAACGGGCTCCAACATGGGAACAATTTGTAAGGATGGTGCAGGACACTGTAGTGTTTCATTCTGTTGTTCATAGGGTTGATGTAGGTCGGAACCGATTTGATGGCACTTAAAAACAACAAAGATAAAGAGAAAATTCCCAAAATAAAATGAAAGATATTTACAAACCAGAAATAAATCGAGAGACTTTCCAGCAGTATCTAAAATAATTAAATACCTAGGAATAATGAATTAATAGGAAAGTGTTATATATTGAAATTATAAAATACTGTCAGACAGTGTAAGGTATAACAAAATAATAATTTATAAATTATCAAGGGTTCATGAGGGAGGGAGGGAGGGGGAGGGAGGGGAAAAATGAGGACCTGATGCCAGGGGCTTAAGTGGAGAGCAAATGTTTTGATTATGATGAAGGCAACAAATGTACAATGTGCTTTACACAATTGATGTATGTATGGATTGTGATAAGAATTGTATGAGCCCCCAATAAAATGATTTAAAAATATATTGTTGAACTTAAAGAAGACCCAAATTATTGGAGAAACAT